ATTCTCTGTTGAACCCCAATTTTTCCGTATACCAGACACAAAATCCAGAGAAAACTTACAAGTTGACCAAAACCAGTAGAATAAAGTTTGCTAGAGACTGGGGTATCCCCTCCCAACATTGCGTAAAGTCATGGATTTAGGCACCAAAAATGTTGGATCCCAGGGGTGTGCAAATTATAAAGAACAGACCACTGAAGCCTAGAAGCCAGAAGCAAACTTTATTCCAATCACCACGGGACACATAAAAACTCCCTGTGCACTGGGGCCGTAGGTCAGAGTTAGGGCTTCTGACATTCTGACAATGGAAGCAGGTTTTGAGTCTCTTAATTTTTTTATGTTTTTAATTTATTATGTATACAATATTCTGTCTGTCTGTATGCCTGCAGGCCAGACCTCATTACAGATATTTGTGAGCTGGAAATTGAACTCAGGACCTTTGGAAGAGCAGGCACTGCTCTTAACCTCTGAGCCATCTCTCCAGCCCCTTGAGTCTCTTCTTAAAGTAAAATCAAGCATCAGGTGTGGGTAAAAGAGCATTTACAACCTTGAGGTCAGGCTTAGAGTCATGTTACATGTTAAGTTTTACAACTTTTGATTTAGGATGCTAATTTAGGATGTTTGCAGGAGCCTGTGGAAAGGATGCAAGGCAGAGGGCTGAATCTCAGAGAGGAGAAGTTAAAAATTAAGGGAATACAATGCAGGAGTCCTATAGAGGCAATGGTTAGGAGCTGAGCTTTATCCGTCCTAACTGCTGAGTTGGGAGGCAACTGTTAAAACTTTACTTCCGCACACAGTAGCTGCCAGGATATCCAGGATATCTGCTCTTAAGACAGAAAGCAGTTGCTAAAGGCTAATAGTGACTTTATTTCCCCCCGAAATGTGTTTAGGCTTACAGTTTTATGTTCTGGGCTCTTCGGTAGAAATCCGGGGAACTCGGTTGACCTTGGAAGGCAAGAGGCAAAGTATCATTCTAGCCCTTCTCTTCACCGTGGCAAAGGACTCCAAATATGTGTATTGAATACCATACTTGGTCAGTTACACCAGTACTGGATTGTAAATCATGTTTAAATCTTAGCAGTTGTAGATAAAGCTCACGTAAAAAACTAAGCATTTTTAAACATCTTATTAAAAAATCTGAATACAAATTACATACATAGCATAATTAAGATTAGGTGTGCATGCATGCACACACACACACACACACACACACACACACACACACACACACATGATCACCAAGCTAAGGTACTGTGAATGGGTTGACAAAAGACAGAAAATGGTCCTTCCCCATCCAGAGTGAGTATTTTTCTCTTTATTAAGATTAAGAAAAGGACATCAGAACGGGAACACTTGATTTTCATCAAAACATCTTTTAAATCAAAACAACGCTCAGCATTTTGTTAGCTTGGCTCAGTATCAAGCGAGGCACATCCTGTCCTTTCAAAGCTAAAGAGTAGCAAACATATCGTTCAAAACGTAACAAAGCATATTTACAGAAATCGAGTGATTTGCCATAAACTGCCTGCATACAATTAGCTTGCATTTCTTTAACTGCTCATTAATTTTTATTGCCTCTGATCCTGTCAGCACTGAGTCAGAACGATTCCTAGGGTCTAGGGTGACTGCTAGTATTTCCAGATAAGAAACCTGAGAAGCATCAGTTCCCAAGAATTTTAGAGGAAAATACTTGAGGAAAACGGGGTTTCCAGGAGTGCTCACCTCTGACCCCTGCGTGAAGATGAAGTGACAGTAAAAACCACCAGGAGAATCGTCAACGTTGTGAGAGAGAAGAGGGCATGCAGGCTGGGCGGTCCCAGCAGAATTCTGGGCTGTTCCCAGGTCTGCTGATTGGTGTTGAGTGAGAAACTGTCCCCATGGGCTTTGCCTTGTGGAGACGTGTTGGACAAGCACTCAAATGCTGATCTGAAACCAGGCCACAGGGCTCCCAGCACAATGCAGCATCTCAGTTCCTTGTGGTAGAAAACAGCATTGCATAGCTAAAATAAAACTTAAAACAAATTTGACTTACTCCTTTGTTTGCATATATTGCTTCAAGACAAAGCTGTAGTGATATTTCATTTATATTTTAATAAATAAAGCTTGCCTGAAGTTCGGCGAGTAAGACATTCGCACTGCTCAGCCTTACAGACCAGGCAGTAGTGACACACACCTTTAATCCCGGTAGCTATGCTAGTTTGCCATAGAAACCATATGGTACTGCTGCACGCCTTTAATCCCAGCCCGAGAGAGGAATATAAAACGGGAGCAGACAGCTCTCACTCACAGCCTCATTCTGAGATTCCTGGAGGCAGGATTGCTTTTTCGAACTGAGGTACAGGCTGACTGTTTTGCTTTTTTGACCTTCAGGTTGAACTCCATTTACTGCTTCCGGGTTTTTATTAATCATGCTACACAAAACATTCTCAGTAGACACATCACCTCATTAATGTCATTTGCATTCATAAGAAGATGTTTCGAGTGTAATAATTTTATCTGTATTGGAAGGCGTAAAAAGCCTAGAAACATACAGAAGAATGGAAATAAGTTGTATCTATGTGGGATACGCTTATATGTTTTCTATTTTTTTCCACCATGAGAAATACAAAACACGTCATCACTTTTTGAATGGGTTGTTGTTATAATACATTTCATTAGTTTTGATTTTTATGTGTGTATTACAAAAATTAAATTTAGACTTCTTGGGATATAACTGGTATGAAAGCTGGCGCCAGGCCATCAGGGGACAGGAGTGAACCAAAAACTGAAAACATTTTATACTTTTGTCCCACATTTATTTGTATTGGACATTGGAGTTTTAGGGGATTGTTGCTCATTTCAAAGCCCAGGTTTCCCCCTCAAACGATCAGTGTTGGAAAATTTTGCAAGAAGTTTAAAAACATGGATGCATTCTTTTCATCTATGAATAAGACATATCTATAATCTGTATCTGCAAATAACTCACAATATAGCCAAGGAACCAGGATCTAGACAGATTGCCGACAGATAGACAGAGAAAGAGGACACAAAAAAACAACAAAGATGGCAGACTTCTGGCTTCTTCTTTACCCCCACCCGCACCCCCATTGCTGTCAGCAGTGACCCACTTCTAGATGGCTGGTCAGACACGCTCAACACCTGTCTGGACATGCTTGCCTATAGCTGTGGCCTCTCAGATACTCTTTCTTTGTCTGAACTGACCACTCCTCAATTAGGGGAAGGGGACTGTCTTAGGTTTTCTATTGCCGTGAAGAGAGACCATGACCACTGCAACCCTTATAAAGGAAGTCGTCTAACTGGGGTTGGCTTAGAGTAACAGAGGCTCACTCCATTATTGTTATGGTGGCATGCAGGCAGACGTGGTGCTGGAGAAGGAGCTGAGAGTTCTGCATCTGGATCTGCAGGCAGCAGGAAGGGAAACTGGGAGACTGGCTTGAGCATCAGAGACCTCAAAGCCCGCCCCCAGGGACACACTTCTGCCAACAATGCCACACCTACTCCAACAAGACCATACCTTGTAATAGTCTCACTCCCTAGGAGTCCATAGAGGTCATTTTCTTTCAAACCTCCACAATGGCCCCTCGTTGGCCATCACGATACTTCACACCGTCAGCCCTCCAACAGAAAAATGGAGCTGCCCTTTTTTTTTGCTCTGTGCTCTGTAGAATGTCTCTGTGTGTGCCTGGCTGTGTGAGTGTGTTATGGCTAAAAAAGCACCATTTTAAGCTAGGTGTCCTTCTTGGTACTCACCAGCCATTTGTCTCTGACTCCAGTCCCTGTAAGATAAGTTCCCAGTAACCCTGATTCAGAGACCCCCATGTACAGCCATGACTATCTACTTGTTATGATCTGACTGCCTTTTTTTGTTTCTGTAACTTGCTTACGGAGATACCCAATGATTGTTTTGAGTTTCCTTAATCATTTGACTTGGCAGAACAAAACAGTTTTTGCTTGATTGCATAGTTGTTGAGGGTCTTCTTTTGGCTTTCCCTTTAAAAGTTCTTTCCCATACCTTCTTTCACAGCAATCTCGAATGTGTCTCCCAGACCGTTCATTCTGCTAACAGCTAATCAATACAACTTTTAATTATGATTGGATTGAGTCTATGGTCTTTTCCCAGGGAGTCACAAAAGTAGCACAAGTGTAGTGCTTTTAATGAAATGTGTAAACGGTTGTTGCCTGCTGTGTCTGAGATTCTTCCCTCCTGCTACCTGGGGTGCCTGTCTCAGTTCTTTAATAGGCAGAGGAGGCGAACCTGCTCCAAACCCTACTTCACCTCCAAACCCTAGGACCGGATTGTATAGCCTCTGTACAAGGCTAAGCGCAAAAGTTCAACTGGCCATGTTAGGGCGCACAGTACGCCCTACCTTAAGATACTATTCATCCCGAAAATTGCGGTAGATAAACCAGTTCCACAATTGGAACTGGCGCAAGCTTTAGTTTAGAGGTGCACCGGGGGACTGGCCAGCAGGCTGTCTCGCCCTAATCTGGGATTTTAGAGAGTAGACCCTTCTGGCCTCTCGAGGTCCCTTTTATGAGGAAGAGAAAAGAACTGACTGTTAGAGATTGTTAGAAAACTACAATGAAAAAGGAAGACAAGGATATACATCGTGTAAATGGCGTCATTATGTTTTGCAGGTTACATCAGAGTTAAGAAACAAACTTATTCTTTTTGTTTGTTTGTTTCGAGATAGGGTTTCTCTGTATCTTTGGAGTCTTGTAGACCAGGCTGACCTCGAACTCACAGAGATTCCACTCTCTGCCTCAGCCTCCCGAGTGCTGGGATTAAAGGCGTGCGTCACCACCACCCAGCTGAAGCTGTCATTCTTAAATGATGGGAATGAAGTTAGTAGTCTAGTTTTATCAACCCATGGATTGGTACCCCTCTCTGTCACTCAGGGTCTGAGCCGGTGAGAACTGAAGCTCTGTCCAATCGAAGGCACCGGGACGAGAAACGTGCAATCAGGCGAAGAGACCGAGAGTAGGGGGCGGGCTTTTGCGGTCTTGCTGGGGCCTTTGTCCCTGATACGTCGTCGGACCACCATCTTGGGATCTGGAGCCGGCCTCTCAGGTTCCGGGGACTCTGTCGGTACCGGCACGGTTCTGCGCCGCGCAGCGAGGACGCGGGGTGTCCGGACTCCGCCATGGTGAGCGCGACATCCCCGCGGAGCTGGTGCCGGCGGCGGCAGAGTCCCCAAGCCCGAGCCCTCCGTCCCTCCGCCTGTGGGGTGGGGGCTGGGCGGGCTCCCGGCTTCCTGGCGTCCTGTCGCATCCCTGGTCCCTGCTTGGGGACTCGAGTCCCGCTGCAGCGCTATCCGCAGCTCTGGCCTGGTGGGGGCCGCGCGGGGGACAGGACTGTGGCAGGAGGCCCAGGGATGCAGGTCCCCGTCCCTGAATGAAGGCCCCCGCTTGGTTTAGGGTTTGTGGCACTTCTCTGCAGCCAGCTGATCTGAAAGGACTTTTGTCAGCTGGTCAGTGCCTGCTCCCTGGCCCCAGTCATTCGTTGCCCCAGGATTTTCCTGGACCTGCGTCGCTGTACGGATCCACCCCGCTCCCTCTGCCCTGTGTGCCTCTTGCTTTGTGTCTTATTTCTGAATCTCGGGCTCGCTCTATAGGACTAGCTTTTGAACCGTACTGATTTTAGACGTGTGTCTTTTGATTTCTCACCACCGCTTCCCCTTAAGGCATTTCTTTTCTTGAGTCCAGTTCTCTAGAGCATGGATTGGAATTCGGATTCCCACATATCCATTGGGCACTACCCAATGGCTCTCTGTGATGGAACCTAGGGGAGCGTCCCAGGGAAGCACTCGTCCACGACCCCAGCCCGCGTGTGGCAGGAGAGTGTCTGACGAGGTTGTCCAGCAGCCCGGGTGTCCAGACTCTTCTCAGAGGCAAACAAAGAACTGAACTAGGGACTCTGAAGAGATGAAAACAACCATCTCTCGAAGTGGAAAACACCCTGGCAGGAAGGATGGGGTCCCCAGAGCAGGGAGACCTTGAAGTGGTCTGAAGTAATCATCTTGTTGTCTTTTGCGGTCCCGGGTTTAATTCCATCTCCCTACATTCAATCTCTAGCCCAGGCAGTCTTGATCTGAATGGAGATAAGCAAGGGTAGAGGCCCTGGCCCCGATGGATGGTCTTGTTATACACACACACACACACACACACTCACACACAGGGTGCACACATGCACCTGCCTTAAGTGGGAAGTTCTGTCTTCCCTGCTGGGCTGTCCCTATCATCCCTGACACCCAGTCTTCTCTCTCTCTGTCCCCCTCTCCCACTCCTACTCCCCCTCCCCCCACCTTTTGAGGCAGGACTCCTCACACTAGTCAGGCTGACCACAGCTGATGGTGGTCCTACCCCAGCCCCTTGAGCACATGCACCACCCACCACCCTGTCCCCTTTTCTCTCTCCACCCCGTCCCTGTAGCATTTCTTTGAAATCCTGAGTGTGAGCACCTGACCGGAAAAGGACTTTTGCTGGCTGAGCCTCTACCCAGTCAGATAGTGGGGGCTGGGATGTGGGCTTCCAGAAGTAGCTGTGTACAGAGGGCTCACCCCCTGCCTGCCTGCCTTCATCTACATGTCCCCTCAGTGCCCTGTTAAGGAGAAAGAGGAGAGGGCTTTTAGATCCAGGCTCAACTCACCTTCACATCAGACATGGTGGTGTAGGCCTGAGGTTGAGACCAGCTCAGACTACAAAGTTCAGGGCCATCCCAAGCAACCTAATTACCCTGTCCAGAGGGCCCTGGGTTCCAGTCCCAGTCACCTCCCTGTGGGACTTCAGGGATGTCAATACTCTCTTCTTGAAGATTGGGGTGATGTCATCCCCTGACTCTCAGTGTTGTGGGCCCACAAAGGCCAAAGTGAGGAATTGCTTTAGAGAGACCCATGCTGCTCAGAGCCCAGAGGCCTGACAGAGGAGACCTGGGGCCTGAGGGAGGAGGTGAGGGTCTGCAGGAGAGTCAGTCAGAGGGACAGGGATTTAGGATGAGACGACTGGTGGTCTGATCGTGTAGACCAATTATGAGGGAGGAGAGAAGTTTGAGGAGATTTAAAGAGTGAAGGCATGCCTGTGGAAAGACTGACCAGATAGAAGGAAAAATTAGCGGGACATGGGAAGAACAAGGAAGCCCTCCTCTGGAGAACCCCTCCCTCTGGAGAAACCCCTATTCTAGAGGACCACCTCTACTCTACGGAACCTCTCCACTCTGGAGAACCCCTCTCTCTAGAGAGCCCCACATTCTAGTGGAACTCCCCTACTATAGAGAATCCCCTCTGGAGAACTCCCTTTGCAGTCTGATGGAAGGAACTGTTATCAGCTGAGGGTCAAGTAGAATGTTTGCTGTGAAGTCGCCAACATATATATATATAGAGAGAGAGAATGTTACTTCTATATAGCAATATCTCCATTAAGAATATTAACATTGCCGGCGGTGGTGGTGCACGCCTTTTATCCCAGTACTTGGGAGGCAGAGTCAGGTGGATCTCTGTGAGTTCGAGGACAGCCTGGTCAACAAGAGCTAGTTCCAGGACAGGCTCCAAAGCTACAAAGAAACCCTGCCCTCCCCAAAAAAGAAAGTGAAGATATTAATATTTTTTGTCTGGAGAGATGATTTAGCGGTTAAGAGCACTGGCTGCTCTTCGGAGGACCAGAGTTCAATTCCCAGCACCCACATGCCAGTTCACAACTGTCTGTACCTGCAGTTTCAGGGCACTGGACACCCTCACACAGACACATATGTAGGCAAAACCCCAATGCATGCGAAAAATATAAATAAATCATTAAAAAAAGAATGTTGAAATTTTAGTGAAACAGTCTCAAAGCTGGAGCCTCTAAGACATTGACTCTTTTGCAGATGTAAACTTGAATTCTCCTGGGACATCCTTGTGACACTATTTTGAGAAGGCCCAAGGTGCTTTACTCCCTGCAGGCTGGAAACGGTGAGTGTGTGGTCTAGCTTCCAGAACCAGGGGAGGGAAATCTGTAGCCTGCATAATCAGACTGGTCTAGGTCTCCATCATCTGTGCAGCGTGACTGTGGGGTCCTCTCCCCCAGAGTCTCTTGACTTGGAGGCTTGGAGCCTTCGTATTTGGTTTCTGTAACCTGCAATTTAGATGCTTTTGTGTCTTTGCTTGTGATATCAGGTTCCATTCTGTCTCCCAGAACTAAGTCTGTTTTTGCCTTCAGCTCCATCTATGGGTTCTGGTGAATTTAGGCAGCCAGCACCGGGCCCTGGTCTCCTGGAGACAACTCATCCTGGCCTGCACAGGCTGTCAGTGGGTTCCTAGGACTGCCAGTATGTTTGAGCTGCCAGACAATGGCCCAGGAAGATGTTAGTCCTGCCAATAACATCAGTGGCAGTGGACTGTGGCTGATGGCAGGGGATGTTTGTGAATTCGCAGTTTTGTGCTGAAGGCAGTGATGATGTTGGCCCTGGTATAAGGGCCCCTTGTCTCTGCTGCTTCTGAGTACTGGTCATGTGCGGAAGTTGGAAACTGCAGCCATAGTGGAGTGGCTTAGGAAGCCGGACCTAGAGGACTTTTGTAAGCCTGGGTAATGATGGCCACCCGTTCACCCTGGGTTTCCTAGACCCAAGCCCCAGGAGGCTAAGCTAGCGCTGTTCGCCCTACCCTACTACCGCAGACTGCCTGTTGCAGGTTCGGGTGTGCACTTCTGGTTTTGTGGCTCCGGCTGACTAGCTTTGAACACTTGTGACTATCTTTCTCTTTCCAAATCCAGGCCCGTGAGGCGAGTGCCACTCTGCTTTGTTTTTGTTGACACCGACCCATCTTTCCCTAGTGTCCCTTGGGTCTCTCAACACATCTTCCCCCTGAGACCTTTCCCTTCAGGCCCTAGGGTTGTTTAGGTATAGGCAGGAATAAGGATTCTCACTTCCTGACTTGTTGATCTTGATTAACCTCTCCCTCTCTTCCTCCCTCTCTTCCTCCCTCTCTTCCTCCTTCCTTCCTTCCCTCCCTCCCTCCCTCTGTGTGTATGTCTGTCTGTGTCTGTAACTAGGAATTGAACCTAGAAATTTCAGCACACTTGACAAGCTCTCCCACCCAGCCACGTCCCCACTGGGATCCTTAGTTTGTCTTTAGACATGCTCTTGGTCTGTAGCCCAGGCTAGTCTTGAATTTGGAATTATCCTGTCTTGGATTCCCAAGCTAGGATTGCAGGGCTGCTCCATGAGGTCTGGGCCCATATCCTTCGCAGCAGTGAAGAGAAGACCCCGTTCAGTGACCGGCACATGGTAGGATCCTTGTGCAAAACAGTACCTTTTTGCTTCCCTTGTGCCTCCAGTGGCAGGCCTTGAGGTTGGGGTACTCAAATGCAAGAAATATGTCTTTATTTGTGGTGTTTGTGTACCCGGCCCAAGCCGTTGAAGATGATGCTTGTGAATCCAGATGTAAATGGTTATAGGGACCAGGGACAGGTCCTATACAGAAGTGGTGAGAGGGGACTGGGGACAGGTACAGAAGTGGTGAGAGGGGACTGGGGACAGGTACAGAAGTGGTGAGAGGGGAATGGGGACAGGTACAGAAGTGGTGAGAGGGGACTGGGGACAGGTACAGAAGTGGTGAGAGGCAGGCGACAGACACAGCAAGAGGCAGACAGGCAGAGACCACGGTTAGGCCCAAGGCTCCTAGGCCTTGTATGATCCAACTCCTTCCTCCCCTCCCTTCTGCTTTGCTGAGAGGTGCAAACCTTGGGGTGGTACTGGGTGTGGTGATGCTCATTCTTGTGATGGGAGGCAGGGTAGAGTGTCTTGTCTCTGCCCCGAGGAGGGCTGACAGGAGCCAACTTTCAGTATTTTCCGAGGGTTGATAACTGATAACAGAGTCGAAAGAGATAGGTTAGGAGGCTTTGGAGACTCAGAGGGTAGGGAAATGCAGTCTGTACTTCAAACCCGCCATGGTAAATGCAGAATCCCATGATGGTCACTGTTCTATTTCTGTGAGACAGGATCACAATCAAGGCAGTTTATGGGAGAAAGCAGCTGACAGCTCACATCTTGATCTATAAGCAGCTGACAGAGCTAACTTAAAAGGTGCAAGGCTTTGGAAACCCTAAAGCCTGGCCCTACTGACACACCTCCAACAGGGCCACACCCAGTTCTTCCCAAACAATTCTTCTAATTCAAATTTAGGAGCCTGTGGGAGCCGTTCTCATTCTAACCACTATGGCCCCATGTGCTTCCTGAGACCTGACCCTCCTTCCCACCTTGTGTTTTCTTGTTTCTCTGCAGCCCAGGCTAGCCTTGGGCTTATGATGGTCCTTCTGCTTCAGCTTCCTAGGTTTATAGGTGGAAGCCGCAGACTCTATGTACCCTTTCCTCTTCCCATCTATATCTGTGTCCTCTGTGGTGCTTTCTGACACCCATAAAGAGAGCAAGAAGACCAGGTCTGGAAAGGGACCTGGGCCACCTCCCAGCTGGGTAAATAATTACCCAGGATTCCAGGGGCAACCATGCTGGTTTCCCCAGTCTTTTAGGATGAACAAGGGGCTGAAGTGTCTGAGGAAGGAGAATCCGTGGGTCAAAGAATGGCTCGAGAAATACAGGAGATAAAAAGGAAGAAGGCAGGGCATGAGTAAGGAAGTGAGGAAGTCAGAGTTGGGGGGAGAGGTGAGGTCCTTGGAAGTTGAGGATATGAGGGAGGAGGTGAAAGTCTGAGGGAGGGGCCACAGTCTACAGAAGCCCGAGGGCGGGGCCACAGTCTACAGAAGCCCGAGGGCGGGGCCATAGTCTACAGAAGCCCGAGGGAGGGGCCATAGTCTACAGAAGCCCGAGGACTCAGTGGAGAGGCAGACATAGTCAGGAAGCAACATATTGAGGCAAGAGAAGATTTAGAAGGGGTCCCAGGGGGAAAGCGATCATCTGAAGGCACACATGTGTATTTCAGGCTGGGAGGGACAATCTGAGGGAAGAGGCAAGGGTGGGGACAGAGGCTTCAGCAGTCTCAGGATTAAGTGGGGCGAAGTGGTTCAGAGGCAGAACAGAATGGAGGCGGGGAGGGGGCAACAGGGTTCTGAGAGAAGACCTAAGGCATGAGGGACCTAAGGGTGGAGGCCGTTACAGTGAGCAGGGTGATGGTGGATCTGAGGGTGGAGGCAGTTACAGTGAGCAGGGTGGTCTGAGGGTGGAGGCGGATACAGTGATCAGGGTGGTCTGAGAGTGGAGGCAGTTACAGTGAGGTGGACGATGGGGGATCTGAGTGTGGAGGACATGGCCTAAGGAACAAGTATAGAAAGAAAATTTGGGAGGTGTGGGAAGGGAGAAGACCTGGCCACTCGGGAGCCTAATTAATGTCTTTTTATCAACTGAGAGACTTGAACTCCAAAAACAGCAAAATTTTCTGTGCAGGTTGCCTAAAGTAGAGACAACTTACCTTCTATATAAAGATACTTCAAGGGCTGGAGAGATGGCTCAGTGGTTAAGAGCATTGCCTGTTCTTCCAAAGGTCCTGAGTTCAATTCCCAGCAACCACATGGTGGCTCACAACCATCTGTAATGGGGTCTGGTGCCCTCTTCTGGCCTGCAGACATACACATAGATAGAATATTGTATACATAATAAATAAATATTTAAAAAAAAATAAAGATACTTCAAATAAAATTATTAAAGTAGCAGTGAACCCTTCTTATGGCCCAAGTGTACATGACCTCCAGGTACGGCCTTACTCCTGTCTCAGGTATTAACCTTACATGAGCAGTGTTTGAGGACCACTTTTTATGGGGGTGGGGGTGGGGCAAAGGGAGAGGAGTCTGGACATTCAACAGGCACCTAGAGGAGGAGGGGGACAGGAAGGCAAGACTGACCCCCCCCACACACACAGCTGAATCTGATTTTCTAGAATGTTCTGCTGTTCAAGAAAGTTCCAACTCCAGGAGCACACTCCTACAGTGAGTGTCTGGAAAGGAGGATGAAAAACCAGCATGACCCCCACTCTTTGCCCCTGGTTTCCTGCGCCCCAGGCATAAAGGACTGGTTTTCCCTCTTTGGTCCTTGAGCTTCAGAGGTACCCACCCAGCAATAGGGACAGCCTTTGGATGGGCTGTGGAAAGTCCTACCTGATGTCTAATCTCTTCCCCCGTGCAAGCACCAGGGCTGTTCTTCCTGTTTCTGCTATAGAGAAAGGAGCACGAGGCGGGGCTACTGCTCCAAGTCCCCATGGGGGTGGAGTCCAGTCAGAAGACGGGGACCTGAGGAGGTTCTCCGTGTACTGGACTTCCTCTAGTTGAGAGGGCAGTGGGACTCAGACCCCACATTTCCATCTGCCTCAGTTTGGCTCTGTGTAGAAGTTTTACCAACTGCTCATCGTCTTTGTGAGTTGCACACCGCTAGCTACAGATCCCCAGCTGTCAAATCGGGAAACCAGACCCACTCAGCAGGCACGCTTTCTCTTTTCACGTTTTGCTGGTTTTAAGACAAGGCTTACCCAGGCTCACCATATAGACCCAGCTGGCTTTAAATACACTTTGATCTTCTTGCTTCTGCTCCAATTTGGGGGGCTCCAGCTTTGACTACCCCTTGCTTCTGTCTTATAAATTCTGATGCTATATTGTAGCTGTAGTTACCCATGTTGGTCGCTTTCCCTCTGGGTTCCTGTACTGTGACTTTAAGAGTTGAAGACAATAACAGGTCTTCACAGGGTCACTGAACAGATTTAATTTAACCCATGTGCAGACTGAATGAATAAGGGGGTGGGGGGAGGATGGCTCAGTGAGTAAAATGCATGCCATGCAACAAGAGGACCTGGCATGCTGGCGTGCTGGTGTGCTGAGATATTTGTAACCGCAGTGCTAGGGGAACAGAGGCAAGTAGACCACAGTCTAACTGAGAGAGTTACCCTGTCACAGAAATACAGTAGAAAGTTAACAGAAGGAGACACAGCCTTGACTTCTCAGGCACACATGTGTATACACATGTGCCGTGTGT